CAGTAGAAGAGACGTCTTGCAGACATCATTTCTAAATTCCGGGCGTCAATTGGCAAGTTCAGATTTTCCGGGCGTAAAATGGCAGGAAAATAGAAACAAAAATTACGCCTGGAACTTTCAGGAGAAGTAAAAGCCTCTGATTGGTCAATTCAATTATCAATTAAGGGTCATTTCAGATAGGAGGTTAAGTTTGAATTTGATCATGAAGGAGGGAGTTTAGTGTGAGTGAAACAGGAAATGCAGATATCTCAATGTTAAGGCTTTTACACTTCTTGAGGATGACACAGTGTCTTCTGGTAGGTGTGATCATGAAAATCTAGTACCTATTTGAGTAAATTTGATTATGATTATGTACAATGATAGTTATAACTGGTTGACCCTAAAATTACTTTAGAATTATTTGAGTTTGTCCTTGCACACATTCTGAGAAATATCAGTCTGATAGAGGCTGCAGTGAGAATCTAACTGTAAACTGCTGAGTATATAAATGAAGAATTGTATTCAGTCAGTAACTAAAATGTTTCAATAAAATTATTGAAGTGATAAAATGTACAGGTATTGTAAAAAAGTTTAATTCTAAATACACACTCAATCATGGTGGTCGTGTTTTAGTGTCCCTAATGCACAAAACTCATGTTATTTTTCTATACTTGTTAATGATATATGTTAATGACCTGTCATTATGTTTTCTTACAGTTCAAAAAGCTAAATTTTTAGCTTTAACATTGTAAATCATAATCTGAATGTTTTTCTTTGTTAACATGGTAATTATATAGGTTTTTAGGTCACATAGTATTATATAATAATAAGGACATTCCAGGCGTAATTTTATTCCAGGCGTCATTTTAGTTTCCAGGCGTAATTTTTTTTACGGGCGTCATTTACTTTTCCGGGCGTAGCTCATTTGCATTTTTCGCCTCAAATTCCTGCCCATTTACGCTTGGTTTCCGCCTAAGTTGCGCCCGGAACCTGTGTATCACCATATATGTAGAGAGACAAATTGACGCCTCTCCAAGTACGCCTCAATTCCCCCTATATTCCAGGCGGAACATTTCGTACAGGTAACAATGATCGGGAGACCCGGGATCGCGACTTGCTTCCGACGCATTATAATAAATTATTTTTAAAAATCATAGGCCTATACGGTAAAAATGTTTATGTATATGTTTCATGTAAAATTTTATTTTTTCTAAACTGAGCACCATGAAAATAACATGCATGTACATGTATCTATAGTCTAACTGTGCCTGCATAACAGGTTTTTCTGTATGCAATTCTCAAAAAGAAGATCTGACTAGACCATAAACCAAACAGACAAAGTCAAAATGTAGATCTAGAATATTTTGACTTTCACATATTAAACATTTTAAATGTGAAATTGTCTTATAAAATCAAATATTAAATGTATGATTTTTTTATTTAAATGCATAATTTATTCTTTTTTAAAATTTCAGTTCATCATCTGTCGTGTGATATTTTTCAAACATGCAAAATATATAGTTGCTAAATAAAATTCAAGATGATCGAAATGCTTTCTTTTTCATTTAACTTTTTTCTTCTCAGTTATTGGTCAGCTCAGTGCCGTACAAATGTATTTCAATTTCCTGTTTTGTTTTATGTGTGAAAATTTAATAATTTATGTTTAATAGAATATATTTTCTAAATTTGATATTGGTTGACAGATTGACAGTATATTTATGAACATGATAAATATTGCATGTAGTTGAGTGTAACATTGAAAATTTTCACCCCAAGAAAACCATTGTCAACCGAGGTGCAGCCGAGGTTGACAATGGTTTTCGAAGGGTGAAAATCTTTAATGTTACACTAAACTACATGCAATATTTATTATATTATAATGAATGTTTTATACAAATACATATTACAGTGAACCGTGCATGCTTAAATTCCTCGCAGTCACTATTTTTTGTAATACCACCCGTCGTCAAGCAATGTTGACTGTTGCTACGCAGGAGGGCATGGCTTCATTATTCAGCGGGTAGTAGTGTTTTTTATCAAAATTTTAATGTTTCTCGACGAATCAGATTCAAGTAATTTACATAAAAGTATAATATTAATAAATATTGTAGTGAGGTCACACACGTTCCTAAGATCTAATAAAACATGTAAGAGAAATTCAGAATTCACAGTATTTACAGTATTTATAACTCATTCTTGAGTAAAGCAAGTTTGTATTTGACCTTGGCATTGGATTTTGAATCTTAATCAGTGTCTGATTGAAAAATATTAAAATGCTCCACACATGTTCCTTAGATCTTATAAACATGCATAAGAATTCACAGTATGTATAACACATTCTTGAGTAAACCTTTCATTTGTCCTTGACATTTGATCTTAAAATTATCAGTGTTTAAATGAGAAAAAAAACTTTATCAAGTACACAATATTTTTATTCAAGGTGATTCCTCAACAATGTTTAACAATTGAATATTCCATTACCATGAGACAAAGTCATTAAAAGTATCCATGTACAGCATTTATGAATTTTAATTCAAAAATCACAGATACATGTACATGAACTTTGTTTAAATTTAAGTTTATCAATGTTTTTATTACCATAGTATAATGCTTTACATGCATTTAATTTGACTTTCTTATTCGACGCTCAAATTGAAATTCAAATGTCAAAGTTTTTGTCAGAGAGATGGTCATAAACTGAACAGTTCCACAAATGTCAACAATGCACAGAAGACATACACTGATCTCCTTAATAAAAGCACCATGATTTCAGTCTTAGGAATCTTTGACACTGGTTTGACCATCTTTCATCATTTACTCTAACAGCATATGGCATGAACTGCATTCTGCACAGCTGCAAATCTGCAGGGTTTCCTGAAAAAAATCACATAATTATAGGCATGTAGATTGTAAATTTTGTCATACACATTTCATACACATTTAAAATTTTTTTGATTGTGATTATCTTTCACATTTCATGTACAATTGGCTTTAATTTCACCTTTTTCTCTAAAAAAAAAAAAAATAATGCATTTAGAAATCATGAAAAATAAAATCTTATACTGCAACCTCAGTCATATAAAATTAAGAAAAAAATCTTTTTTAAGATTATTTACTTGTACATTATAATTCATGTTATCTTGACAACTTGCTAACAAGTATGAATACATTTCTTTTAGTGATTTTTCTCTATTTTCTTCTTGTATTTATCTATTTAATGTTTTTTCTTGGTTTTCTTTTTTTTTTTTTTTGGTCTTGAAATTTGAATATGTAAAAGAAGAAGAAAATATCTATGTAACAGCAACATGATGACCAGAAAAATTCAACATTTCTTTCAGTTTAACTGTCAAGATTTTTGAAGGAAGAAAATCACTTGTTCTGAGAAACTGCAGACATGTCACCTCAAAGCAGATAATGATGTTTATATACATGTAGTTGAATGACCATAAAAAAAATACATGATAAAAATAAAATCATACATACTTTTTAGATTAAAATCCTTTATACTGTGATGACGCATGAGTGCAGGCAAATCCATCACTGTAATGATGAATATTGAAAGATTAATTTATGTTTCATAACTCACAATACATCATACATACATGTACAATATGTAAGTGCACTGCTGAGTGAGCTTATTAAACATTTCAGCAGTAGCATTAGAAATGGTCATGATGATTCTACATTAATTTATTATAAGTTACACTGAAATGAAAGAATTAAGGAAATAATAAGATTAATAAACTGATTAAGACATAATACATTATGATTGTTTTAGTCTTAGAGCTCATTGATAGCTATAATTGAATCATATGACAGAGTAACGGAGGTATTTGTAAATATTTTATCCCCCCTTCTGTCTACACTACTTTTTTTCCGCACCTAATTTTTGTTTATATTAAATAGAATAAAATGTTTATATTTTAAGACATGAGAACATTGTTTTGAGGTATAAATAAGTATAAAAATGCAAACATGTACAGTGTACAGTGTGTAGTATACTTACGTGAACTCGCACATCATCTATTCAAGTCCGCTGTTGACTGTTCCTGTGGAATTATCCAAACAAACAGAGCATATTTAACAGAAAACATGTTAGAACACTTTTACACAAGTAAGAATCGGTTAAATCATCCAAACAAGCTGAAGAAATACGGTCTTTCGATGTCTGGACTCTTCGTTGTTTACATTCCTAAATCTTCCGCACTCTCTACCATCGGCTCATACATTCACCTCTGTCGTTGGCTCGCGTATACACAGTGTTAAACACGAGAAATAGTGCGTTTGTTTTAATTCATTAGAATTTAATTTCTATGCTTATGTCTGAATTTTGAGATAGATATTTACTAAATCAATCCAGAATTATTGATTTGAATTAAAACAATTCTTCAAATATCAAGTTTTATACGTTATGTCAAAAATCTTGACGTGAGCCCATTGCAGAGGTGTCTGAGAGAGGAACGAACGACAACTCTGCATGGGAGATTGAATCTTCCGGTGATCGTTCACGGTTAGATCGTACGCCGTGTTACTCGAAGTTTATAATGTAAATCTGTGTTTTGAGAAAAAAATGTTTTATTTTCTATTGAAATTTTGTAAATATTTCTTTTGTAAACATTTTATATCGTATTTCGTTTTTGTAATTTATTCTGAAATATGAATGAACCTTTGCTCGAATCTGATTGGCTGTAGGATACAGGATAGGATAGGATAGGATAGGATAGGATTGGATTAACTTCTATATGTTTCTATTGTGAATCCTCAATCCTGAATCCTATCCGATCCCATACCATGTCAACTTGTGGGATAGCAGCACTGTAATAGAAAGAGGTGAGAAACGGGAAACGGTTTGGTTAATCGAAATCAATCATATTTAATCAATTCAAAAGTCAATAACAATCACTTGATCTAATTACCAAACACATGTACCAAAGATTAAATCCCATGCCAAGTATATATAGAACGTTTATATCTTATACTTACTCTGAGCCAGTCTTATCATCTTTGACAAAATACGTCATATGTATCTAGGACACTGTTTGGAGACGACTGAGGGAAAACTGTATCTACGTGACTGTTCAGGGTTTATAGAAGGCTGTCCAGATAATGCCTACAGGATCAATGAAAATTACGATTGTAAGAGCAACAATAACTTTATTTTTTTTTAATTTGCGAACAGTCTAACAATTAAACACTTTACGAATATTTAATCTTCATAATTTATTGATTTAGATCCTGCATGTCAACAAATCAACACACAGAATCACTGCTATCTTGCCGATCCTTCCTGTTCAGCATTGTAAGTAAAGGAAATAGTTGAAACAAACGAAGAACATGGGCGCATTTGGCGAGTAATCTGCAGGAATCATTTGTACGAAACATTTATGGTTTAAATGTCAATGATTTAATTGGTTGAACATAGCTGCTCAGATTTTACAAACACGTCCATAGGTTCTTTTATCATAGTTTGAAAGTGTGAGATTGTAAAATTTTTGTTCGTTTTTCCAAGGGGGTACTATAACATAGTAATGTTTCACAAAAAAATAAACACCTAAAATATTTAATGCATATAAATGCATGATACGTGTACATGTACGTTATTATATAGAATAGAAGATTAGAATTGAATTCGCTCGAGAAGCAAACTGAACCAAAATTTATCTAAATCAAAATTTTAATACATCAGTACATAAAACGAAACTGACGAAATAAATGATTGTTTGCATGTAACGCCCCCATGCCAGGCTCGAACCAAAAACTTTTCGATTTCAGTGCACTAAACAGGTAGCCCAACTAACTGAGCTATCACTGCTATACATACACAAATGATTTAAAAAAAAGAAGCATCACATTCACACATTTTGATTTTTGGGGGAAAAGTTCGTTTTTCGTGGTTATGGGTCTTCTCTCTCCATTTTTAAAAAAAGGTGTATTCGTTTCTAGATTTTTGAATTAAAATACACACAATTAACGTTTCAAAATCATGAAGAGAAGACCCAGAGATAGAAAAATTTTAGAAAAACGTGTATAAAAATGTACCATTTTGTACCAAATGTCTGATCTGGCCAATTTTCAAGTTACTTTTTAGCAAATTAAAGCTCAATTTCGGGAAAATATTTTCCTTTCCTGTTGCACAGGAACCCGATAAGTAAAAAAAATGTTAAAATTTCATGTGACATGTCGATAAAATTTTCACTTTTCAATTACGCCCAGATTGCTACTGAATGTCAATCAAAAGCGCCCTCGTTCTTTTTACATGTATGTACGAAGTTATCATTGTATAATCAATAAACTTTTTAAAACAGAACAGAGAATATCTTTCACAAATCAAGAGTTTCTACAACTAGAATAAACGTAGACCATGACGTTTACAGCAGCACGATAATAAAATTTCAAACAGCCAGACTCCAAAAGTATGATACCGCCGATATTGGAGCAATAGTAGGAGGACTGTGTGCTACAGGGATTGTCCTCCTCCCCCTGTTTCTAATTCTTCTCTGGAAAAGAAAACAAAGATGTAGAAAGACAAAAGAACCAAATCCAGGTAGGCATTTCTTTATTTAATTATCGGCAGCATCGGCAGCAGCAGCAGCAGTCGATCTATTTGTGGTTTTGTTAGAAAGTGCATAAGAGACAAAAGACGTTATTTTTTTATCAATTCAGTCGAATAATTCTAAAATGATATCACACTTAAAATCACGAGTAAAATATTAGAAAAATTAAAATAAAAAAAAACATTTTGCACGGCCCGCGCCTTGCAGCATATCCCACTCTGCAAAAACCATGGACATTATCACGAGACAAAAATCGAGGGTATCAGCACGTGGTTCTTCTTGATAAGTCTACATATTCATTTTGATGACAATATATTAACTTTTATTACTTACTTTATTACATCAATGACTCCATTTAATGGGCAAATGCACGAAAATCTCTACTCAATTAAAAAAATTATATTTATTTTATTTTTTAAGCCAGCCTGAAAATAAAAATGATCACTATTTCAGCTTTCAATCTACCTTGTTCTTTCATGGCATGGGTGTTTTAAAAAATTGAAAGTACTTTTAGAAATGCTAAATTTTGATTGAGGCCGATTTGATGCTTTGCATCAATTCTACTTGTTTTCATAATGTAATTATTATGTAATAATTTTATGCAATATAGGTTGGTTTTGGAATTCAGAACGATACTTAAGCAACCTTCGAAGTAAAATATTTAACGAGCCCAAACGGATTAATTATATGATTCATTAATTAGATTAAAAATAGTATTTTCCTACCTAATCAACACCAATTCTGAATGCTGGATGTGATATTTACCTGCGTGATATCCATATAAGTCCAAGCATAATACAAGATAGGGTTATGATAGTCAGTATCCTGATTTTATTTAGCGTCTCTTTTATTCCTTAAAACATATTTACTAAATCACACTGATGGGTTAAACTCTAGAATGTAATGTGAAAGGCATATGAATAACGGTATTTTGATAATTTTATATTTTTGCAGGACGAATTAATTAAAGTTCAAATTTGAAAAGTTAATAATATAATTTTGGATCACTCTCTTTGTGGGTTTTGAAGCTAAATTTGAGGATTTCAAAACCAAAACGCACGTACCTCGGTACTCGATTGTATCATACATAGAATGATCTAAAAAAAAAAACGATACCTATCCAAAGTTGTTTTCTTTGATTTAATGAGACAGTTTAAATTAAAGCTCGCGCGAAGCTTTGTTTTAAATATAGTTTAGAACCGTTATAGAACAAAATGTTATTCAAATAAAATTCTTGTGAAATGATTTTAGAGACAGATCATTTGGCGGGAATAATGAAAAATGGCCCTGAAAATTACTTGCAAGAACAATGTACCAGTACTTCTCATGAACGTATTACATTGCTAACAAATTCTACTGTTGAAGATGAAGGTGAATATGATAATTAAATTTCATATTTGGGTATATATCTAAAATTCAAAAGCTAATATAGAACAATTTTAACTTGAATAATTTTTTACATTAATTGTTACATGTCTTGTAAATTGATTGAATTTAAAGACCATAGAGTAAAATACTGGAGCATCGATATACGCGGCAATGATTAGGATTTTCAAAAGTTTGTTAAATTTTCATACTTGCAGTTACTTACAGTTGAAATGAAAATATTGTAATTCATTCCAGAGGTTGGTGGTAATAGTAAACCAGAGAAGGAAATCTAGTGAGGATGGCATTTATAGAAAACCAGAGAAGAAAACCCAAGATGTCACAGAGGCTGGTGTTTCTATTAAACCATTGCAGGAAATCCATGATGTCACAGAGGCTGCTGATTTCAGTAAACTACAGAAGAGAGCACTTGTTGACACAAAAGCAGATATAAATAGGAAAAGAGAAGGACAAATTCCTTTATTTGAAACTGTTTGTATCATAAATGATTCAGAAAAAAGACGGCACGGTGTCTTAGAGGCTGATATCAATAATAAATCAGAAGAGAGAAGTCATGGTAACACAGATACCAATGTCAAAAATGAATTAGAGAGGAGGATATATGAACTCAGTAATGTTAAGGAAGGACAGAGTTCACATTCCTTGTACATCGTATTGGAAGTTTAATTCTGACGTCATTGAAGTTTAACAAGCTACAGAAATTAATTTACTATATAATAATACGTAAATAACAACTTGAGAATTACCTTGAATTGGTTTCGGATGTAAACGTTTTTAAGTCAATTATGGCATTAATTTACCTCATCTTTCTCATCTAGATATTTAAGCTGTTCTTAATAATCGTAATTTACATCACAGCTACAATGTATATGTCTCTGGTGCAAGCCGCTGGTACATTTTTGTATTTACAAGAGAGAAAACTTAAATAATCAACTTTGAAAAAGTTGTCTTTCTTTGTTTTCACTTTGGAAAAAAAACGAAACAGAACTTGTTACCAATGAAATTACGTCTCCACGAGCCAGGACATTTTTGATTACGCTGGGACATTGACCCCCCACAAATAAAAGGAACCCACAGTACATGTAAAGACAGTCAAAGTATTCCCGGCTGCTTAGTGCTAAGGAACTCTAGATTTTATTGGTTCAGTTATCAGAACATTTTGTATGCGATCAGATTCAAGTATTTTATAGAATTTAAATGATTATAAAATCAAAGGCCTAAAATTGGCATTAATATAAACTCGTCAGCCACAAAACGACCCAATGTTAGGTTTAACTGGTTAATTATGTCATAATAACGACAGAAATTTACAAAATTAGTTTGATTTTAAATGAAGCTGATGAAATTCCTGTAAGATCAACTTATTATAGCGTAGCATGTCTTATTTAAAACATTGTTCATACTCAGGGCAAGCTCTTGGGTATAGCGAATAAATAAGGAGACATAAACACTATAAACAGGTGGTAACGAAAATTGAGGGTGGAAAAGCTGAAGTTATATCCCGTTTGTCATATAAATTTGTTTGTAGTTAGTCCTTGTCTCTATGGTTAGTTAAAAATAAGAGAATAACAAAATATATAACGGACAGAATCTGTGACATCCTTTATCTGGGGTTTACTGGTATATTTCGAGTCAACACATAAATGAAAAATTAGTAATTATTGTTAATTGATCAAACATCGTCGATCTATTAGAATATTGATTTGAAACAGGTATTTCTTCTTTTCACATGTATACATTTTTAAAATTAAATTTGCTTCAAGGGCTTATAAAGTCAGGAGGGCTAATATAGGGGAATAATTAGTGCTCATCTGAAATCCCACAATATGTTGGAGAACTTATTCTCCGCAGATTAAAAAAAATCTATAAGGAACTCCAGCAGTTTTGCTCGAACTACGAAAGGATTATTTTAAAAACAAAACAAAATAACGTTATATTCTTCCTTTATGTTCCTCTGTTATTATGCAAGACCGAAGCTAAGTCAACTGAGCTAGTTTTTTGAAGGATTGAAATTAAAATAACAACAGTAGTTAAAATAAAAAAAGTCATTTATTGAAGTAAATGACGCAAAACAAAATATAAACATATTATAAGGGGGTCAGACAAGACTAGAAAAAAAAATCGAAAGAATACAAAAATCTTTGGTGTCATATTATACAATTTGACCCCATAAATTTACATATATCCTAAAGCAGGCACTGATATGCCTGTCATGAAAAAGGGTGGGTTAAAAGAAAATAAACGCCACAATCCAATTACAAATTGCAAGTTAAGTCAACAGTTTTACCTAATTACGAGCGAAACCCCTAAAATGAATTCAATATCCAATGTCAAAGGAAAATACTATTTTAAATCATCATTATAAGATTTCAAGGACGATGTTTCAAAGGGAACTTAATTAAAAAATGGTATGATGTTACATTTTTATGATTCTGCCATAGGAATATTCTATAAAGGAATCATGTCAAAAGAAAAAAATAATTAACCATTGTTTATCTTTTAGAATAGTAATCGTTGCAATTTCAAACAAAAGATACCAGCATCTATTGCTTGTGCTTTTCGTGCGATTAAAAGAGGAAAAAAGTTTATAAAATAAATTTTGATACAACTTGCTCTTGATCTAGGACACTCAGTGAGTGCGACTGGCCGACAGTAGATATTATTGGCTCATTTATTGCACATGATATTTTCAGATATCCATATTTGCTCTCCTCCTATTTTGTATTGTTGATTTGGATTTTACAGCATACGTTTACTAATTGTAATTTTCACATTCTATTTTAACATATACTTGTCATTAAAGTGTGTAAAATATATCAGGAAGATATTAGCCATCAAACTAAACATTCAATGTGTGCACTGTGCACTGAGATGACTTTAAAAGACAATAATTTAAAAAAAAAAAACGGACATCATGGTGTATTGTAGAATTCGATCAACATTCAGTATTAATTAAAAGCCCCATTTTGTCTCTCTTCTGAGCCTCTTGATTTTTTTAATCTATCAACATCATCTCTCGTATCATTTGAATTGTTGTAGAGGAGACGAATGTATCCCTATTTTTTATGTTTATTATGTTTTGAATATTTTAAGATGAATTATTAAGTCTTTAAACAAACAATTAAAGTTTGTACCCAGAAAATATATTGATAATGGTTGAGAATGCATTTCCAAAGCAAAATCAGGTTTCAAACACTTTATCATAGTAAATAAGGTAGTTTGAACACATTTTATTGTATAAATACTATACGGATGGTTATATTACACCTAAAACTTGTACTTTAAAATGATTTTTGTGCTTTTATTCCATATTTATAATTTTCTTTTAGATGTAAAAATTATTAGATTTAGATCATGTAAACAATTCTATTGAGAAAACAGACGTGTTATATTAGCATTGTTTTATTGTATAGTACCCATGGGCAGTGTATAATGACAAAATTACCTAAATTGGAACATTCGAAAATTTACTTTTTACGGATACATGATTGCAAAATAATTTTGATTGGGTGGGGTGCACATTCAGGGTTAATGGATACCAGTACAATTGCAATCTTTTTGTCATTTCTATCAGTAAAAAAACCCTAGAGTTTAAAATCCTCCCCTCATAAATATTTTAAGTATAAAGATCTACACCTCTTACATGTATCTGTTAAGCCTGGAGCTTCACTTCATTGAGTGTAAAGACATAACTTAACATATATATGTGCCAGAGAATGGGGAAAGTAGTAATTTCCCATAGACCCTATACGACCCTTAAGCTCTTCCAGTAATTGAATTATTCCTTTTTCAAACAAATCTCTGATATCATTTGAAACTTCATTCTAAGCAGTGTAAAAAACAAATTAAAACAACATGCCGTTGCGTTATAAGACCAAACTTGCAGTTACTTACACCTTACAGTATAAATGTTATCAACAGTTAATATAAAACATTCTAAGTTTTTATTCCCGAGCTTGCTGAAAAGTCCCGAGAAGAAGTGTTTGGGTATCAGTCTGGCAGGAAGAATATCTACACAGAGTCCTTCATGATCTTATGCGGTGACTCACCAGGTTATTCCTAAAGATATGAATCCTTAACTTTCATGGAGCTCAACAAACAAGAAGCAATTCTCAGACATCCAGTCGGTATATGTTTCTTCACTTATCATATATCGATCAACTTAATTCAACTTAATTCAATTTTAGAACCTCATTCGAAACTTTTCTCTGCCACCTTAGAACGTACAAACTAGAACAAAACTGCTTTGTATTAATACCTTTATTCAAAATTACCTTGAATCTTCACTACACGATATTTTTCTTTCAAAGGAAATGACTTGCTTCAATCAAAATTAGATGATTAAAGCAGTTATTTTAAATAAATCATTTTTTTTTTAATTTTACCAACATGCCAAAATTGAACTGTTTAAGGTCAAGATCTAGTAAATAACTCCATTATGACGTCATAATCAATTTCAACTTTCTTTTTTCCGTACTTTACAGCTTTAGCAGAATTATGTAGGAAATTGGGTATTTTCATATTATTTAATTTAAAAATCATATAAAAAGTAAACCGGATACCTATATTAAATTTGAAATTGATTTAAAGAAGAGGCCATGAACATACTAATTACCGTTTACTGAGAGACTGTAGGCAATCTAAATACATTTCCTTTGGCGAATACGAAAAAAACTCCCATATTCATCAATGGTTTTCTTAATTTTTCATTGAAAATGACAGTTTAAAATACAGTTTTTCATCTTGTTTACCTACAAATTGTACCCCGAAACACCTTACTTGACCAAGCTAAAGCTGTAAAGCATCAATAAAGGAATTTATTTCTCAGGTTTGATAAATCTGTAGGCACCCTTCATTTACTAGATCTTGACCTTAAGTCATAAATTATGTACTCTTCATGAAATTTTTTTCCTCATTTTATAAACGAATACTGTAAAAAAAAAATGCATAATAGACAAAAACGAAACAATTAAGTTAGTTGGGTGGTTGTGGTCATTTCCAGACTATTTTATCTTTAGAAGATTGATTGATTGTATATTGTTTAACGTCCCTCTCGAGAACTTTTCACTCATATTGAGACGTCACCGTATTGCGGTGAACGGTTTCAAATTTTGACATTTACTCGGCACTCAGGGCCATTGAGCAGTCAGAGATCTTTATCGTGCCAACGCCTGCCGCTGACACGGGTCCTAGGTTTTTAAGGACCCGCAACTTTCACTTCAAAGTGGCGAGCGCATGGCAAAGGAATAGTTGCTACCCATTTTAACGACTAGGTCAGTCGCGGCCGAGATACGAACTCACGACCTCCCGATCACGGATCGAGCGCTCTACCGACTGAGCTACCGTGAACGGTAATCTTTAGAAGAAGAGTATCATATAAAGATATACAAGAATGGCCAAATTTTTAAACTGAAATAATGAAAATTATTTGAAAGCTTAATATCGAAAAATTAAATTTAATCTGATGGTAAATTTGGTAAAACTCTTTTTTAAGCCTCTTTAAATGTTTATTTTTAAGGCAAATTAAAGAAGACCCCCTTCTATCGAAAGAAAATCCTGTATAATTGTAGTAGGGGAATCTTAAAGGGGTTTGAAAACAATTTAAACACATGTGTGCAATACATATATACAGCTCAACGCTCTTTTAAAGCTCACATGGTTTTTCGCAGTAGGTGTTGGGGTATTTAAAAAGCTAGGTTAAGGTCAATAAACGACGCCATGGTGGATATAAGAAGCACTATTTTTCCATGAAAAGTTCGGATACGAAGGAAACTAAGACCCTAAGAGGTAAATACATAAGGTAGAATACCGTAGTGATCAATTTGACATTTTAATAGATTGAAATGTTTGTTAAAGATATTTTCTGGTTTCCTTTTAAATCTTAATGATTGATTATCCACAGACAATAACTAAACAGGGAAGACAGGATATTTAAACAATTTAAATGGGAAAAGCATAGGTTTCAAAACCATTTTGTCTCATTGATGAAAATTGTTTTCATTGAAAAACTAACGCTTATGTATGGTGCTATCTTTGGGCGATACGGTATATCGTAGTTTTACGTGAGGCCAAGGAAGGTAATGAATCTGTGGATACTTCTTAATCTGAGTCCTTGTTTTAAGACAACATGAATCGTATCCTACATGTAAAACATATATACAATGGGTGATTTAGGAAGTTCTTATGACAGAAAAAAAGCAAAGGCATATTGAATTTACAGTCTTTAAAATTGTCTAGTCCCCAAGTGTTATTAATTTCTATCCAACTCAGATTATGTCATAAATCTAATTAAACGACAAAAATGTATCTTTTCCCTTCTTCTGTACTAGTAATTAAAAAAAAAATATTTATAACTTGCTCGCACACCACAACCAGTGTGTTTGAAATGATTTCTTTTTGCGATATTGTGCAAATTATAAATACCCGACGAGTTCTTAGCTTCTCTGTCGAGATTAAGTGAGACTATGCAGAGAGATTGTAACCAGATAAGATAAATTATTCACAGAATGAAGACTATTTTTGTTTCAGTTTTCACCACTGAATAATTGTCATTGCAATCGTTCTTCTACATCTCTAGAATTCCGTCAAATTTCTTTTTCAATATATACTCTCCTTGACATTATCTAATACACATTTATATTATGAAATTAATTCAATTTAGACAAATATGTTTGTATAATAATTATACTTTCTGGTACAAAAATAAATTAATTGTAATATGTTTCTATAAATACATAACATGCACAATATTCCGCTGTTGTACTATCGGTAAATTCAAATTTGTCTGGTAGATTCAATATAAAGGCTACCATGAATGCAGTGTTCTGGCGCTTTGTAACGATAAAAGGCCATTTAAATGCCGGTGGAGAACTGAACGGACACCTTTGTTTAAATGTTCTCTTCAAAACATAATGAACATTGCAGGGACAAAGAAAAATTACTGATCATTATCATGATTATCTTAAATTCGGTCTTTTTTAATATTGGGTCGAAGACATACTTGGTCTGTGTGTCCCAGATAGAATTTAAACATATAGCAGGTACACATTCCTCGCTATTCATTCAGTGATTCGTTCTTTGTTTTTTTTATAAAATCCACTATGGTCAATAACAAAATAGTCATTAAAGGTATATATCAATTAAAGTTTTTTTCACAAAACAATAATTACACCTGTGTTCTATAGATCCATTGGGTAAGCTTTGCGGAAAAATGTCAATATTGATCTCTATATTCTTCACCGAAAAGTATCCGAAAAGCGAAGATTTTTCAAAAATCTTTGGTACTAGATCATACTAAAATATACTCAACAAATAAAGTTAAGGGTTATGTAAAATATACTGTAGTTAAGTTAAGGATATTTCAATTCTGAAATTTATTATAAATTGATGTGATGAATCAAAGTTTTGTGTAGATTTTATTGATGGAAGGTGACGATTGTGGAGACAGAAAAATGAGCAATTTATAAAATGCTCTGTGGCTCTACGTGATCGCTTTGTTGGAGGTTCCATTATGGTGTGGGAAGGCATTTCGATTCAGGGGTCCACGGAGTTGTATATCATCATAAATGGAGCACTGACCGGTATCAGATACAGAGATGAGATCCTTCAGCCAATTGCGAGAACATTTACAGGTGCAATAGGGACAGAATTTGTTTTGATGGATGATACAGTACCCGCATCGTTATTCTTTACAGGATACACGATACGATAGGATACACGCACGATACAATAGGATACACGCACGATAGGACAGGATACACGCACGATAGGATAAACGCAAAACACGATAAACGCAAAACACGATACACGCAAAACACGATAAACGCAAAACACGAAAGACCTGATAAACGATCTTCACGATAGGATAAACGCAAAACCTGATAGGATTGTTTCAAAATGCGGAACGTTTTCTGACAAGACGAAAAGATTATTTTAAATTAAATTCAAAGATTAAAGATTTTTAAAATTAAATTATATTTTAATTTAAATACTTGCATGGCTTCAAATCTAAACTATAAAGTACATTAAATTATTATAAAAAGAACTTGAGATCTCTGTGGTAATTTTAAAAAAGTTGTTTATTTATATAAAAAAAATTGACAGTGATTAAATGGATTATTATGAAATGGAGACAGTATTTCTTTTTATTTCTTCTCAAGGGTGTGAATTTTGAAACTCTATAAACAGATTTATTATTTATGAAAAACTATACATTTTAATTTTATATCTAATAAATTTATCTACAAGTACCAAGTAATTTCACGGAAGAAATTTATGCAATAAATTAAATATTTGCATTTAATGTCTAAAGCTTACAATCTGTGATGTATCCAAAAATCGCAATTAAATACTAATATCTTAGAAAAAAAAAATGCAAATAAAGACCGTCCGAAAGAAAGGTTCAAAGAAAATGGCTTTGACAAAATTAATAAATTTAACATGATAAATCTATCAAGAACTAAACAGTTCAAGAAAATTAATTTCCTGAATAGAAATCTAAATAATTGTTTAAATAATGCCGCTCTGCATTAATACTCAATACATGTAAACTGTGTCATGAGAAATAAATCTGCTACAACTGCACATATACGTTTATGTACTTATGTACATGTAAACATTTATATATCAGATACTTTAAACCTCGTATTTATTAACGAACATTGAATGGTTAAATAGATGTACTTTTTTCTTTACAATACAAAACAGAAAAATTAATTAACAAATATTAAAAGAGTGAAATGCGACTTTTCCCACTAAATAATTTTAAATCATTGCTCTTAAACTCTGTGTGTACTGTTTCTAATAATAACAAAAAAATAGGTTTAATTTGGCAAATGAATTACTCAACCTTAAAAATTTGTTTAGACTGACCCGGTAATCTCATATGAGGCATATTCGAAGGGCGGGATGTTGAAAGTCCGTAACCAATTTAAAATTAGATAAACAAGATCTAACCAAATAGCCAAATATAATATTGAATTCGTAAATAAAGTTATATTCGTATGGAATGAAATCGATTAATACTATAAATTGATTCGGTGTATTTACATGTCTTGCATGGTTACGGCAGAATCAGACGACTTCTTTTGTTTTATTTTTATAGTACGATACCGTAAAAAAAATATAATGCGAGCTAATTTTCATAGTATAGAATGTTAGAACTATTTCATCCCTTTCTACGATCAATGAAATTGTTTCCTAGAATTAATTTTGTCCGTATTACGTAGAAAACCCGATGATCCGAAAGTGCACGCACCATAAGTGTAGTATTCATTAAAATACTAATTTACATAAACATAATGGAAACATTGAACGAAATGAAATAAATCAGCGGAATGAGTTTAGAGACTTCATTTCATTAAATTGATTTATTTCAATTTTTATTTCACATTCAAGCAATGAGATGATTTTTTAATCCATAAATTGTACAATTCTTTAATATATTTTGAATTAAATCTTTGATAAGTTTGTTCAAACAAGTAAGGAACAAAATCCCGAAAATAAGTGGATGCGTTACATTAGAACCAGGTAGTGTTCGAGGTTACTAATTGACCCCAGGTGAGAAATCATGTAGACGGTGATCACACACACGGGCCGAGGTGTCAGTTAGGGGAGAAGGGGGCGGGTGGGGGGGGGGGGGGGGTTGACAGCACAGGAAGACAGTGTGCTAATTAGAGAGCTTCACATACGTGTCAGTTTTCTGGTAAGGAAAGGTCTTCGATTTATTTTGATTTTTGGCATCCCGATGGAATGTATTTTCATTTTATTTCCACGCCGAAAAGGTAAGCTGTTAAAAAACATCCTATTAATAGTATTTAATTTTGACAAAATAAATCATACAATTCGATAAATTATTTTTTGAAAAAAATAGACCAGGGGATCGATCTACTTATAATTCATTTACGCAAAATAGAGTTACTGTTTAAATTTTGATAATCACTCTCTGCTTTACCATGATATAATTATTTTATTTACTTATTTAATTATTAATTAATAATTCAATTTATTCATTTATGAAATACGCTATTAATTTTTTTTCCATCTACACTTTAATATTTCTTGTATTGATAAAAAAGAAAGGGATAAAATTCATTTTCTCTTTTTCGGTTGAATTAATCTTATTTTTATTAACAAAACGAAAAAGAAACTCGGAATAGCTCAGTAGTTTCTTTGTTTAGTAAAGATAAAAAGCGAGGGTTTCCGAATATACACGATAAACGCAAAACACGATACACGATATAACCTGATAAACGATCTACACGATAAACGCAAAACACGATAAACGGAAAACACGATAGAAAACGCAAAACACGATAAACGGAAAACACGATACGATAGGATACGATAGGATACACGCACGATACGATAGGATACACGCACGATACGATAGAATACACGCACGATAGAAGACGATAGAATTGTAAAGAATAACGATGCGGGTACTGTAACTCCAGGCCAAACATAGTGAACCAGTACCTTGAGGCAGAGACTATCTATAGAATGCGATGGCACTCGAAGTCACAAGACCTCAATCCTATTGAACATCTCTTGGATGTTCTTCAGAGGCAAATTCAGCAGCGGTATACTACTCCATACAATCCCAATGGATTTGAAGTTGCTATGGTAGAGGAATTGGATCGGATACTACAAAGAACCGTCTGTTCACTCATTCGAAGTTTATTAAGGCGATGCAGGGCTGTTATTCAAGCAAGGGGAGGCCATACCAAGTTTTAAGAGTTGTTGGATAATTGTCAGTTTTGAATTAAGCAAATCATGCATATACTGTTTATGGAAATTCACTCTGAATAGGGAGGGTATCCATAATTGATAATCTTGTTCTTCTGTCCAAGTGAACAATTACCATCAGTTTTTTGTCAGATGTGTAGGAACTTTACAGAGGAAATTATGTCATTTATTTTGAATAAGTATACTTTTTGGATGTAGAAATTATAAATGAAGGGTTTGATGACCCTTAACTTTTTTTGTTGAGTATATTATGTCATGGTACATGTCAAACAAAATCAATTTCTTGTTCATTTTTTTTTATAAATTTGATCGTAAATCAACTTCTAATGGTAGCTCAGTCGGAAGAACGCTCCATCCCTGTTGATCTTAGCTGTTATCTTTTCCATGACCAAGAACACAATCTCTCACCAGAAAGCGTGATTCATAAGCCAAACATTGTAATGCTCTTTGGTTGAAAACATTTTTAACATCATTTTTAACATCGTGTCCTCGATTTCAAGATGACAGTAGGTGTTAATAATCAAAACAAAATTGTTCTGTAGTTATTGAAGTTATTTCAATATACATCAAGCATTATAACAGTTATTCCGATTAATATTTTTATTATTTTTGGAAATCACCGAGTTGGTGAAAAAAAGATAATATACTTATTTGTTACACAAGATTCTTGTAATTCAAATTCTAACAAACATGTTGGATCGGAGCGTAGTACACCCTCTTGTGAGATATATCCAAAGAAGTTTGAAGTGCATGTTGTGGGTAATTCTTTAAAAGCAGAGTCATGTTCCTTCGACAGGCGATCGAATTCGCATAGTAAATAAGACGTACATAATAAATCAATTAAAAATAATAGTAGACTACCCCCCCCCCCTCTTTCCATAGAAAATGCTGAAAATGCTGAATTTTTAAAAAAGCCATAAAAGCTTCTGTATTTCGAGCTTGGGGATTTTTTTTGTACGTCTCTCCGAAAGGAATTGTACTGTGTTGCAATAATGACGTTATCTTAATTTCCTTCTGTTGGTCATCTTCCTTTTTATCCAAAAACAGTTCGACGAGCAATAATGTTTTTTAGAGAGAATTTGAATTTCATATACGTTTTTTAATAACAAATTGTAGGTTTTTTACATCAGACACTGAATAATTTCGTGTACGTAGGATAAATTTGTTTCATATTTCAACGTTTGTGTTCAGTTATCTGTGATTTTAATCATTTTTAAAGTTTCATCAATTTATTTCATTAGATAACTATGAATGGAAATTACTGCAGAATTTCGGAATAACCCTCGCATAATCTTCGTACATAAATCCAACCTCCTTGATTTTATTAACCTTCATTGGTTGTTTTTTTTTTGTTCGATTGATTTCAATATCAAATTACCTAGAAGTTTTGCAAAGGAACAGAAAGCATGTAAAAATTCTAGGATACCCTGATCCTTAATAAATAGGTGAGGATAATGAACGAATTCATAGAAATCTGCAAATGAAAATACCAATTTGTGATAAGTGTAAACTTTGAAGAATCCAAAGGATACTTTGTTGATCGGACAAACCCGCCTTTAACCCTATGTGTTGATTAGGTAGGGGAAAATTGCATAGTGACATTTAAACCCTATCAAATGCTTTAAAACATGTCAATCCAAAAAGATTCAATGTTAGAATCATATACATGTATGCTAAATGCTGACGACTTCTTTTAAAGGACCATATGATTTGAGGAAATACTGACTTTAAATTAGGCTCATGAAATATTTCTAGGATTAAATAGTAATAAGAGAGAAATCTGCAAAACTTTACTAACCTATTATGGCATATATTCTACAAAGGTTTGAAATTATGTTTATTCCATTTTTTGTAGATTTGGCGCGGAAAGTTTTTGTTAAAATTGGTGATTCATCAAATTTCGTGGATTTTGTAAAATAGTCGCTTTTGTTGATACGTAATTTCGAGGATATCTGCACTGCGTATACCTATAAATACCATATTTCTTAATTCACTGATCATTTCATTTCGTAGATCTGCTTAACAACGAAATCCTCGAAAATTGTTGCTCAATAAATATTGATGAATCCTCATATAGTTTAAATTTCATTACTTGACATTTGATTGAAGAAACAAATATTCTAAAATTTGGATTAATTTATAACTTGTTTATACATTTAGGTTTTTATCCATTTCATTTCCTCTGCAGCTATGGATGGTTTTGTTGACTCTTGTCCACAAAACCTCACAGAAGCTATAAAGGCCTCTACAAGGCTTGAGTGTGGTCAAGACAAGTATGGCAATGATCAGTATATATGTCTCCCTAACACAGAGAAAAGTGGTCTGGTAGAATTATGTCACAATGGGATCATGGGTATTATTCAAAGAGGTGGGTAACAAAAAGTTATGGTCAAACAAAGCTCAATGATATTCTATAATTCAAAGGTCAAAAACAAATATTTTATCCTTTTACCAAACACTTGTAAAAACCTTAATAAATACAGAACGTCTAAATTTTATTCTAACACGCAAATTAGTCTCATTATCATTGCCAAAGTCTGTCATGTGTATTTAGGATACTGCTTGGAGACGACTGAGGGTAATCTGTTTTCACGTGCCTGTTCAAGGTTTATAGAAGGCTGTCCAGATGATCCTTACAGGAGCAATAAGAATTACAATTGTAAGAACAATAATTACTTTATCTGTTTTTATTTTAATTTGCGAACTGCCTAACAATTAATCACTTTACAAAAATTCATTCTTTAAGTTAATATTTTATTGATTTAGATCCTGCGTGTCAACAAATCAACACTCAAGATCACTGCTATCTTGCTGACCCTTCTTGTTCAGCAACGTAAGTAAAGGAAATACATGAAACAGGCGAACTCTTACATGTATATATGAAGTTATCATTATATGATCTGTGAATCAACATTTTTAAACAGAACAGAAAATACCTTTCACACATCAGGAGTTTCTACAACTGAAATAAACGTTGACCATGACGTTTACAGCACTACGACAATATATAACCAAACAACCACAATCCAGGAGTATGAAACTACCTATATTGGAGCAATAGTTGGAGGAGTGTGTGCTGGAGGGATTGTTCTCATCGTTCTCCTGTTCATAGGAGTTCATTTAATGAGAAGAAAACAAAGGTGTATATATAAAAGAAAAGAACCCAATTCAGGTAAACATTACTTTATTTGAACTTTGAAATCAATGTATAATATACATTTATGTTTTTTTTAGAAGGTCAGGACGATGACTTGAACACAAGAGGAGTACAGTTTTTACTGTGTCCGAAGAGCGAAGGCAATAGTGTACTTCGAAGGTGGCTATATCATCGTACAATTCAATAATAAAATTGTGTAAATACTTAGTAAATGCAGCCACCTGCACCCCACACACCCAGTTACTTATATTCTGATGATTGCATGAGCCTGAAATTTATATTCACCCGAATGAAAGTCGGTTGGAAGTGAAATGGTTTTAAAAATAATTTTATATTAATTCGAAGTTTCCCAATCCATTTTTGGTCCAATGCAGAAAAAATAAATCCTTATTTTCACCTAGAAGGTCGCTTGCAGGAGAATATAACATGTTTGATCTAAGCCTGTGGGAGGGCTATGAGTTATCAATTTTATTATATCATTTGTTGTAGATATTGGACAAAACATATAATAATTAGAAAAAAATTAATTATTTGTTAAGTTATATGATTCTGTTTAATATTTCCCCTTTCTTTTATCCACATATTCACAAAAATACAATGAGTCATATAATTTGAAATCTTACGTGAACAAAATAAAGTATTTGATTATCTTGATATTGTTTTTTTTTAAATTTTTTTTTAGAACAAAAGTATTTAATTTTGAAAAGTAAATAGATATGAACGATGTTGGACTATTTGTTTTTGGATTTGCATTTTCAGGATTTTAGAACCAAAACGCACATATATGTATATGCCCGATTGGATGGTTGACTTTATTATGGTCTTATTACAAAAAGGAATTAAAATGTCTTGAGTTTTTGTTTCATTTAATATGTAGACAATTAAAATTACTACCAGGAAGGAAAAATTTTACATTTTTATGAATATTTGATTTTAATATATTTCTAAAATATCTATTTAAGAGACGATCTATTTTGTGGGAAAAAGAGAAAGCAGCTCGGAAAGTGTCTCATGTACAAGACTTGCCAGTTCTGTCAATGAATGTACAAGCAATACTCCATTGCTGCCAACTTATACTACTGACGATGCAGGTAAGAATGACTACCAGATATTTTATTTTATATTTGTGCAATAAATCTATATTTATATTCGAAATATAAATGTCGAAAATATTCAATGTTGATGTCAATAATTTCATGTGTTATTAAAATATTAGATAATTTTTTAAAAAAAATCTAAAATCCCAAATCAACGAAAAGGAAAAATATAGGCAGAGTATTTTCAATTGTTTTTAGAATGATCAAATTCAAATCGAGCTGTACACATGTCTTATATTTGAAAAAAAGAATATAATTCATATTAAAGTTAGTAAAAATATAAAAACTGTGGAGAGGGTAATGGTTTCACCAGTTTAAACATATAAACAAGGCGCTGAAATTAATTATTATACGAAAAGAAAATGCATAGTAAACAATGTATCAGCGGAATTTTTATCGAGACTCTAATTAATGTAGCAATTTGTGCTTAGAAATAAATATTTCATCTTAGCTAAAAATTATTTAAACACATATAGAGAGACAAAGGTAACCTCCATAGCAGCGATATTCAATTTTTCCTATCTTAATACTCTCGTTTGAAATGCCAATATCGATTATATTTAAAATTTCTATTTGTAAGGTATGAATGTCCGTTCAAGATCACTTATTTTGCAGATCTGATATGTATAATATATATGTAAAGTGCTATTGGTCTATACTTGTAACTTTTTATACCTTGTAGACAAAATATCGACAGATAAGGATGACAGTCATACATGTAGCAGTGTAGGATCCAGTAGTAGTGATGAAGATCTTGGTAGGAACAAATCTTACTTCATATCATTATATTTTTATATATCCTTATCCTAGGATGATCATATGGAGATAACAAACAGTATTCAAGATCAAAAGTACATAAAACAATACAAAATAGGAGCAGAGCAAACACAGACTTCTAAAACATCGGAAGTTGGATTAGGTGCCATGGAGGAGTTAGCATTCCCTGTCGACCAGTCACACCCGCAGTTTGCTCCTCGTCATTATCGGGAAATAACGGGAAAATCCGTCGTCATTTACATATAATAAACTAACAATAAGTATGCAAAACGCCAGTCAGCAGTTGACTCAATGATAAATTGTATTTGCTGACAAGGTCATCGTGTCGACCATAGAACTTACGAAATAATGATTTTAAACGAGACACCTTAAATACTTGACTTGTTTGTCAATAATTTACCTCTTTTTACAAATTGTTCATTTGTAGTTCTTTCTCTGGGTATCGAATCATCTTATATACATAAACTCCGTGTGCTGGCGATGAAGTTATATTGCTGCATATATAGGCAAGGAAATTTGACGATAGAAAAGTTAAACGCAACACGTTTATTATAAAGCGTGGTTGTTAGATTAAAATTAACGTCTTTTTCAAGTGATATCAATATTCAAATATAAAACAAATGTGTCAGACTCTCTGGAAAATTATTATGTCATTTTGTCTATAAATGCATAACAAATGTTGTACAGTTATACGTAGTTTTAAGAGCAGGAGATGAATAATGTATTGGATGAATTAAATACAAATTTTTACCGGTCACGGTAGGTCAATTGGTAGAGCGCTCGTTCCGTGATCGGGAGGTCGTATCTCGGCCGAAACAGACCTGTGTCGATCAAAAATGGGAAGCAACTGATCCTTCGCCGTGCACTCGGGCACTTGAAGTGAAAGTTGCAGGTCCGTCGGATGAGACCGAGATACCGTGTCATAGTGATGAAGGTATATTGCAGCATAAGTAAGCGAAGTTGACGATAGAGAAGTTTAAGTCATCACATTTATCATAAAGCTTGGTTGTAAAATTACCATTAACTTCTCCTTTTAGGACAATATCCAAGTATTAAACAGATGTGTAAGACTCTGTTGTATCTTTTATCTCAAGCTCATTAGGATTAATAGTATCGACAGAAAAATTGAAATTGCCATTGTTAATTGACAAAACGTCGTCGATATATCTAATTGTCGGATTGGACTCCATGGTAATTATTTTCTTCTTTAAACGCATAAGATGTTGCACATATTCTGCTTCATATGAATACAAAAAGTAGGTCTGCTAATAACGAGGCACGTTTTGTACTCATGGGAATTCCAATAGACTGTTGGTAGACCTGGTCTCCAAAAACGACATAGATATTGTCAATCTTTCAGAATCTTTTTTTAAGAACAGCAAAGCCATGATCGTCCATAGTTATATGAAAGCATCATGACCCCTGGGGGTAGGGCGGAGCCAAAATGTAGTATCAAGGTTTGACATAATCAATGAATTTTTTTAAAGAACATTCGTCTAAAGAATAGCAAAGCCATAGTAATATGAAACCATCCTCAGGTAGTGTAAATTCAAGGTGTTCAAATCATAATCCCTGGGGCAAGGGTGGGCTGAAATGGGCTATCAGAAGGAAAACGTAGAACAGAAATCAAATTTGTTCAAATCATGATCCCCGGGGGTGGATTGGGGCCACAATGTATGAATGCACAGGAAAAAATCATGAAACTTCTTTTGAAGAACAGCGAAGCCATGATTGATAATTATAACCCCCCCCCCTCCAAACCCAACTTTAAATACTGAACAGAATTTTGCTTTTCCTAGCTAGTTGCTCAGGTGAACGATATTTTCCCAGGGGCTCTTGTTTATAAACTAGCGACAATTTTCTTTTCATAGATTCATAACATAGATGCATAGATTTTAACAACACGATTCAAGCAATATTCTTCAATTACTAGATATCACTTTCAATAGGTTATTATTTTCAAATTAACCTCCCCGTGTTAAACGTTGAATACTTATTTATTTAATAAGTATTAATTTTTAAATCTACCTAGGTGTATAGCTTGAATATTCACGCATACCTAGTCGAATACATTTGCCGTTTACTTATTTTTCATTGAGATTTAAAAATCGGTAAATGACATATTTCCAAATTCAATGTCGGTGATAAGGACTAGAGCCTGTTTCTCTTTCACAACTTTAATGATTCTTCGAACAGCTAAGATTTGCTTCTTGTTTTGTCCGACCAAAGCTCGTTATTATTTAATTTCAGACTAAGTGGGATTGAACATCATCTCGTTGATTTTCTATAATGAAACTTAGACTAATTCCTCTGTAGTATCCTCCTGTAATTAATCTAACTGATTCTGTTATGGGCACTTTGTTTAGGATGGACCACTGTCCTGACTGGTCATTTTATCCAGTACTGCATTGCACAAGTAAGGTGTCATTACTACACCGTTTCTTCTGGTGTTATCCCATATTCATCAGTACATGTATAAGTACTTTTTTTCTTCTTTTAAAGGATTTTGGAAAAAATATATTTTTCCTTGATGTCAAATAGACATCTCTAAGGTTATATTGCTATATGCAATTGTATTTCTTAAAAAAAAACCTGGTAGTTGTGGGTACAGGAAAAAACTATACGCAAGGTTATGATAAGCAAGAGAGCTTCCTCTAAAATGAGTTTTTTTGAATACGGATCAGGGGCTCTGGTGTATTTTTTTAAAAGGAAAAATGCACTTTTTCCTTCAAAATTTTTTCTTCATCTGGGTATTTAGCCGATAAATTAAGTGAGCAAAAAAGTGACAAGAAAATCTGCCTCTTCTAGAATTGTGAAATTCATCCATTTCAAATATCAGTTTTGTTTTACTTACAAATACACTGACGACAGACACCTTACAATTGCATTAAGTCGTTACTGAAGCTCTAGTGGTAAATGAGACTATTGGAATGTACATCTAGTATCTATTGAATTATTTTGTTTTTTTCTCTTCTGTAGATTTTCTCATCTATAGTAATGATTACGACACATGGAAAACAAATATATCAGGTGAGCATCTCTCAAGAGTGAAAAATTATTTATGTTAAAGTTTTAAGGTATTTCTTGTCTAATGCCAAATTATACAATCATAAAATTAGATTATACTTTATCGATGTACTATAAAAGAGTCTTACGGGTCTGTACGAAGAACCATGACGGTAACTTCCTATTAATACTCAGAATAAACAAACTGCCCATGCTTTTGACCAATCAGATATGGACATTTAGATAACCCATCAGAAATAACTTAAATACGTTCTTATAAGCTGGTTTTTTTCAAAAGATCTTTTTAGAGCAGTTAAAGTATTTGTATACTATATGTATACAGCGGGGTTCGACACTAACAGTAGCTCGCTGGCCCGGGACAACTAAAAATTGAGGTTGGGCTACTAAAAATGTCATTAAGCTTGCCCTGCAGGGCTGCTATATATTTTTTGACGAAACATTAGCTTATAACGTCCGATTTGGTTCAAGTCTTTTAAGGTATTCCAAGTCAGCCAGCATTTCTCAGTAATTTACCTTATTGCTTTACCTCACACGACACATCCATACGTGTGACAATCAACCTATTAATTTTATACACTTATTCACTGGTTGTGAGTGGGGTTATTCTTTTATCAAACATGCGGCAGGGACTATTCCCCAAAGCTTGCCTTGGTTTTCCTTGAGCGGCCCAAAATTAAATCTATTGATGATCGTATTTCATACGTTTTGTCATCATAATTAAAATTTGTTGTTAGTCAAAATGTTAAAAGTAATTCGGAATTCCCTAAATAACTGTAACTTTTAAATTTTTCAAATAGAAAAATTTTCCTAGATACAGTTATAGACATATAATATTACCCCAAAAATACAAGCAGAATGCAGGATTTGTGATCTCTATTTCAAAATTGTCTGGGAAAAGTCCCCACATACATGTAACCCATCAATAGGAGAGGGAACCCCCTCCTGAACCTAACCCCCTTGTTGTGTCGCTTCGGGACAACTACATGTAATACATGAACAGGGCTAGCAGAAATAAGAAATTGCCAGCCCTGCTTGCAAGTATGGTTTTAAGGTTAGTGTCGAATCCTGTCAGTATTTAGAAATAAAACATCTTTCTACAATTCTACCCCGAACAAACACGGCTTGAAAGGCTCAGAATAAGTTTTCAATGGGATAAATATCTGTCACGATAAGACAGCAATCCCAAATGGTTAACATGGGTAAAAAATATATGAAAGAAATAACTGTTTTTAATGCCCGCCATGGGTATTTGGGTATTGGGATATAAAAATATTGTTTCCTAAAATTGAATTACAAATTAATGCAGTTGTGAAATGTGCCGTGAGTTGTGATGATCAAAATCATTCATCTTTCTTACTTTTAGCCCAAATTTGCTCATTTCCTTATTCATGTTAAAATTAATATTGTATACCAGTATATAACATGATATTCCGCCCGCATTTGTAAAACCCGTGATATTTTAATACTAATCTTTACTATGAACACTTGGGTGCTGAAGATCTTTAGGCATGACAAGTTCACTATATCTATAACAACAAGGCAAAAGTACATGTATATTGACCAACAAGATGTGTTTGTGAAACACTATGTGCCCAACGGCAACAAATTAAAAAAACATATTTTTAGCATAAAGGGCACAGTCAATGTCACAAGGTCATTGATCTTGGTGTCATTTGAAAGATCTTGATTAGTAAAGTATGCATACCAAATATGAAATCTCTATCTTTCATGGTTCAAATGTTATCGTGAAGGTTCAAAAAAGCTATTTTTAGCATACAAGACACAGTCAAGGTCACAGCATGCCAAATATTAAGTCTCTATCTTTCTTTGTTCAAAAGTTATGGCAAATGTTAAAGTTTGTCGTCAAAAACGCTATATTTAGCATAT